CAAGAAACCTGGCATGATTCACAATAAAATATATGTGTCTAATGGTCTGCTTCCATCACATAATTTTGCAAAGAGCCTTATTTGAATAGATTGTTTTTCCACAATGTTGATTAATCTTTCAACAATTTCAAAAACTACACGTAGCTCACCTACCCATCACTCACAATTCTTGGTTCAAGTGGTTATACATGGAGCATTCAATGTGTCTAAGTTGCAAGACGAACAATATTTTTACTAATGCTTGTGGACCTGAATTTCATTCTAACATCAATTAGGCTCTGTTGGAATGGAATCAAAAGTATTTTCCTATATATTACATTTTTATTTTTACATGTATATTTTTATTTTTACCAACCCATCAAGCTTATTGAAAATGTCTCTTGATTTGTCTTTGCCAGATAAATATACTAGTTTTTGTCATCTATTAGAGTAAAAGTCATCTCCCTGACTCACTATCCCAGCCATATACATCCACCCTCTCTTGATTAATATCTTAGTTGGACATTATGAAAAATACAATTTATACTAAATTGTTTTCAAAGCAACCATCCCAGATTAATTTGTTCTCTTTCTAAGACGGCTGCCTTTTAAAGGCACCTAGCCCCTTTCCAGCTACAATTTTAAAAGACACTTTATTATATTTAATGAACTATTTAATTTATTTTCAAGAGTAATTTTGACAATTCATTTGGCTGGCTGGCTTTAGAACCTAATCTCATAATAATATGGAGCTTCACTGTACATGTTCAATTATGCCTGCTCTCTGCCTCCTATTCAATTCAGCATCCAGCTCACGGGTCATCTGCAGAGAAACATGAACAAATAATTATAATAAAATAAAACATGATAAGCATACTATGGACATGCAATGAAGCATTTTATAGTTTGTAAAGGGAGAAAGCAACAACAAAATTGGTGAATTAGGAAGAAGAGGCATGGTTAGAGAACTAGAAAGAGAACCAGGAAGGAATTGATGTCTATAAAATTAAGGGAAAATAGTGTCTAGTATGAGAACATGGTCAATGGTGTCAAATGCTACAAAGAGGCCCAGAAGGATGAGAATGGAAAAGGGTCATTAGATTTGGAAATTAGGATATCTTTGGTGACTTCTAAAAAAGTAGTTTGAGTAGAGTAGTGAGGACAGAGGATAGGTTGTAAGAGGTTCAGAAGGGGATAAGTGAGCAGGTGGCATCAAGTATAGCTAACTTGTCAAGAAATCCAGCCATTAAGGACAAGAAAGAGATTGGTCTATTCTAGCCAATTTATCCTCCAAGTCCTTTTTTGTGACAATTGTTAACAACTCTTAAGAAGTTGTTAAATTAATTAACCCCCTGAGATTAAGCCATTCAGGGAACCCGCCTATAGTTAAAATCCTGGAGTTCCATTCTGGTTTTCCCTCTGGAGAGATGGGTCTGGGTAGATGGTGAATAGGAAAGATGGACTCACTTAAAAAGTAACGTGCACATATTCTGCTCCAGGCACAAGTAGAAAAGTATAGCCCAACACTTTGGGGGCTAAAATGCATCCTGAGGCATATCCACTTAGCTAAATTGAGAGTGAAAGGAAATGAACCATCTTGTCCTACCTATGGTGTACATATATAAACACAAATGTATAGCTACACAGGCTTATAGAAACATATACTATCCACTGATCCATCAACTACTACTCATCATTGAACCTAGTATGGATGGGGGGAGGAGAAGGGGAAAAGCAGCATTCTCTAAATTTGATTAAGAGCATAACCCCAATGGGGTCTTTCTCTCATGCTCCTAAAGAAACAGGCAATGCTGAGACCAAGAGCTGGCTATAGGCTTGATATTTTTCACTAGCTTCTCCTCACTCCTTCCTAACTCCCAAGCTGATCTCTTAGACATTTGACCTTTCTGTTAGTTTAGGTGGCAGGTAATACCTCTCTCTAAGCCACAAGGGAGCCCCCAGCTTCTGCCTCCCAGGCCCACAGAGAATTCACTGAAAAAGTGAATATGGTTCTATCCAACTCTGTGCTAATGAGTGGCAAGCAATCGGGAGTTTCCAAACACAACTGGGAAGATATAGAACCAGACACAAAGCATCCAAGGTAAAGGAGGGGCAGTTGTGGCCGGAAGTGGAAATAGAACCTGAGCTCAAAGAGAAGATGCATCTCTCTCAGGAGGAGTCAGCCACATCTGGCCTCCTATAGGACTGCACTTCCTCCTCCAGTAGCCCATGAAAGCTACTTGGAGATTGAAGGGAGAGGGAATAACTCTTCATGGCATCCTCTGTTAGGATTTGAAACATATGAACTGGGAGTCAGGGTAAAGAGACAGATTCTTAGTTCTATGGAGTTCTACTCTCGCTCACATATGCCCAGCTCTGGGAGAAGCAGATTCATTCTCTGATCCTTGCCCTGCTGAAGACCAAGACTTATGCTCAGAGCAATGAACCACTCAACTCAGGGCTGGTAACCACAGCAATCCACCCCAATGGCATCAAAGGTAAGTCTTCTGCTAAAAGCATCTCATAGAGAAGGCAGTAAGTTGAGGGATAGAAAGAGATCTGGCCAGGTATGTGGACCATTTTGGATCTGAGATTCAGGGGAATCAGTCTACTTTAAGTAAGTCTACTTTGAGAGGACTGGATCCTCATCTTTTGCCCTAAATCCATTTCCCCGTGAAGCAAAGACTAAGTTCTGTAGGAACTTCATGTAGGGCTGAATGGCAACGTCAAATGTCTACCTCTCTAGAATGTTAAATGACACAGTTCAATTCAATCTTCATTATTTCATCAAACCTAAGGACTTTGTTTTTAAGATGGTGGGTTTTATCCCAGAACTTTGGAGTCTCTTTTCCCTATACCAGGAATTCTCTTATGATTGATAATCCTAATAATATCTTCTATTTTATAGCACCTTATATCATAGTTCACAAAGCAAAGCATCTTCATATACATTATCTAATCTGAACTTCATGAAGATGCTAGGAACCAGAAAAGACAGGTATTATCTTCATTTTACAGATGAGGAAACTGAGGTTCAGGTTCATAGACTTTTAAGACCAGAAAGAAATTTAATCGGTTCAATACCTTTATTTTAACTGATAGGAAAACAGAGGCTGAAAATGATAAAGTGACTTGTCCAAAGCAACAGAATAAGTGTCAGAAGCAGAACTTTAATCCAGGTCTTGTGACTTGTGGTTCTAAAGCGATACTCTTAGAATCAGGAAGATTAAGATTCAAGTACTGCTTCTGACAATTATTAGCCCAATGATCAGATGCTAATCCTTTCTAAGCCTCAGTTTCCTTATGTAAAGTAGAAATAATGATACTTTCAGTATCTACTTAACAGGATTATTGTGAGGATCAAAGAAGGAGTAGTGCATAAAGAACTTAGCTATCATTAAGGCACTATATTAATTAAATAATAATAATAGCAGCTAGTATTTCTCCAACACTTTAAGGTTCGCAAAATTCTTTTCATACATTATATCATCTGACTTTAATAATAACCCTACAAGGTAGGCACTACTATAATGGAGGCACTACGTAGTAGTAGGCACTAATTAGTAGGAGCTATTAATAAAATGGAGATTTTCAGCCTGGGAGAAGAAGCAAAGACTGAAATCAGCATTTATTAAGTGCCTATATGTGTGAGGCACTGTGCTTAAACACTTGGCAAATATTGTTTCATTTAATCCTCACAACAACCCTGGGACCTAGATGCTATTATTATCCTCATTTTATAGTTGAGGAAACTAAGGCAGACAGAGGTCAAATGACATGTTCAGAGTCATATGTCTAGTAAGTGACTGAGGAAGGATTCAAGCTCAAGCTTTTCCGTCTTCAAGATCAGTGTGTTAATGAATTGTGCCTGTGATTTTCTTTACTCTTTCCACTCTACGCTGTTATCTCTCTAAAGCATCTGTGTGTGTCTTTGAGTCTTCAGAGAGTCTTTCATTGGTAGTCTCTCATCAATCAAAGGCATTCTTGCTGGTGCACTTACTTCTTTGTCGGACTCTTACAGTCAGCAAGAAAAATCTCTACATTATCAAGCATGCTGATGACTTTCTAAAGCAGTAGCCACATTCTCTTGTCAACGTCCCAAGTACATACAAAATTGTTTTAAATACCAGAGAGCTCAGGCTGAGGTTTTCCCAGATGATATCAGCACAACTCCATTGAGTTCAATTTAACAAACGGCTTACTGTTACTTACTATTTTAATTTGAGACATGGCAAGAAATTACTTTGTTATAACTGAAGCCAGAGGGAATTCAATCTCCCAGAGTTCAATTCAATTCAACAACTATTATTATGCCCCTTCTGTCAAGGCAGATTAGTGTCATTGACAGAATAGGTGTACTTTTGATTAGAGCTACCAAAATATATGGTATAATATGTATCTCAGGAGGTCTTCAAAGCAAGCCCACCCATCATCTGGCCTGTGCTGGTCAGAATCCTCCCTACCGTCCAGGGAAAGGCTGGACTAAATAACCATTGAATGTGCTTTCTAGCCTCAGCTTCTAAAAACAGAGGGTCCAGTTACCCTTAACTCAGAAGCTGTAGTGAATTTGGGAGTTAACTGAAAAGAAGCAGGAACAAATTTCCCAACACAAAAACAAAGGCATATCAGAGACACATGCTTACAGGAACACAGCAGGTTGACAATAATTCCTAAGCTCAATTTAAACACAGTATACTTGAAAAAAAAAACCCTCTCTGTCCACATTATTGTCCTCTCCCCTCTCTTTACCTATATGTTTCTCTTTTTTTCTCATCATCACTATATTTTGCTTTCTCTATTTCTGTGCTTATTTTTCTTTCTATATGTCTCTGTTTCTCTTTTTCTGTCTACGTGTTTCTCTGGCTCTGTCTCTATTTCTGTCTCTCTGCCTCTCTCTCTTCTTACCACCTTCTCTCTTTCTGTCTCTGTCTCTCTTTTTTTATCTCTTTCATTTTCTCTTTCTCTCCCTTCCCCTCCCCCTTTCTCTCCCTCTCTGTCTCAGGTCACCCTGGCATAAGAATATGGCAAATCTGAGTCACCCATCTGAATTTATCCTTTTGGGTTTCTCAGCCTTTGGGGAGCTGCAGGTGGCACTGTATGGGCCCTTCCTGGTACTTTATCTTCTGGCCTTCATGGGAAATATAATCATCATTGCCACGGTCTTGGCCAGTGCTCAACTACACACACCTATGTACTTCTTCCTGGGAAATTTTGCCCTACTAGAGACTTTGGTCACCATGACTGTAGTGCCCAAGATGCTTTCAGACCTCCACGCCTCCACCAAGACAATTTCCTTTGCTGGATGCATGGTCCAATTTTATTTCTGCTTCTCTTTTGGTTCTACCACCTTCCTGATCTTGGCAGACATGGCCCTGGATCGCTTCATGGCTATTTGCTACCCACTCCGCTATGGAACCCTTATGAGCTCAGTAGTATGTGTCTGTCTGGCAGGGGCAGCCTGGGCAGCACCCTTCCTGGCCATGGTGCCCACTGTTCTGTCCCGGGTACAGCTCTCCTATTGTCATGGTAACATCATTAACCACTTTTTCTGTGACAATACCCCACTGCTGCAGCTAGCCTGCTCCAATACATCTCTGTTAGAGTTCTGGGATTTTATGATGGCATTGACTTTTGTCCTCAGCTCTTTCCTGATAACAGTTGTCTCCTATGGCTATATCATAACCACTGTGTTGCGAATCCCCTCTTCCAGTGGCCGCCAAAAGGCCTTCTCTACATGTGGCTCCCATCTAACTCTGGTCTTTATTGGCTATAGCAGCACAATCTTTGTCTATGTTCAACCTGGGAAGGCACATTCTGTGGAGCTCAACAAGTTTGTGGTCTTAGTCACTTGTATCCTGACTCCTGTCCTCAATCCCTTTATTTTTACCCTCCGCAATAAGACAGTGAAAGCTATCATCCGAGGACAGGTGCAAAGACTAAAAGACCTAAAGAATTTAGCATGAGTTAGAGGGAAAGAGCCAAAGTGAATTGGATTGAGGCAAAGGCTGAAAACATCATGAGGCATAAAACATTAGGAGGCAACTAGAAAGGGAAGGGACTGTACAACACTTAATGGGAGGGTACGGTACCTGCCTGGGTGACAGGACCACTAAGTGAAACCTTGGGCTTCTACTCTTCATCTCCCAGTGCTTTCCATAAGACCTCTACCACCATACTCCATACTTTTCACCTGGCATTGAGGCCACCTATAGGACCTAGTCTGAGCATACACTGAATGGACGGGATGGAGAGAGCAGCAAAGGGAAGTACAATGTGGTACAGTGGAAAGAGCTCTTAAATTGTAGGTAGGATGACCTGGACATGTGCATGGGGTATGGCTAAATATCTTTGTATACATAGTAGACATGTGTTTGCAGCAGAGTTACTGTGTGTACATGTATTATGTATGTCTTATGTGCATTTGCATATCTAGGTGTGTCCATCCACAAGCATTTACTAAGGGTTAACTATGAGCTCACCCTTGTGTTGGGGATACAAAGAAAGACAAAAACCAGACCCTGCCATTGAGGAGCTCACACTAAATGGCTGTTTGTGTTAGATAACTGAGATCCATGAGAGGATTGGGGAGGTAATGAAAAATGATTCCTAGAAACACTCCCCCCTCAGGAATACAGCTCTCTTTTCTATGTTCATTTAATAGTTATCTATTAAGCATATATATGCACATATATACATATATATAGACATACATGCACATATATATATATATATGAACAGATATGTCAGCATTTTTATGCTTATCCTTTAATCTACCATGAATGACAATATAATCACATACAAAAACTGATGTTATATATGAGAACAAAGAAGAAAACAAGGAAAGGACCAGTGCTGCACCAAGTACACATAGAAAAAAAATCTGTGTTGGAAACAGCACAATTTTTTTTTCACATTTCTAAATTCTTTTTTTAATTTAATTTTTTTATTTTTAATATATGTTTTTAAAACTTTAGGTTACAAATTTTTTTCCCTTCCTCCCTCCCCACCCACCCTCAGTGAAAAGGCAAGCATCTCGATACAGGTTATAGATATGTAGTAATGCAAAACACTTCCATAGTAGTCCTATTGTGAAAAACTAAGCACATTTCCCTTCATCCTATCCTTCCCCCCCCATTTATTCTATTCTCTCTTTTGACCCTGTCCCTCCTCAGAAGTGTTTGCTTTTGATATCCCCTCCCCGAATCTGTCCTTCCCTCTATCAACCCCATGCTCTTTTGTCTCCTTCCCCCCTTATTTTCCTGTAGGGTAAGATAGATTTCCATACCCCATTGTGTATGTTATTCCCTCCTTAAGCCAAATCCTATGAGAATAAGATTCACTCATTCCCTCTCACCTTCCCTTACTTCCCTTCCACTGTAAAAGCCTTTTCTTTTCTGTTTCATGTGAGATAATTTACCCCATTCTACTTCTCCCTTTCTCCTTCTCCCAGTATAATCCTCTCTCACCTCTTAATTTTATTTTCCAGATATCACCCCTACATCTTCAACTCACCCTGTGCCCTGTACCTATCCATCTATACATACATATAATTTTTTTCCCTCCCACTACTCTAATACTGACAAGGGACTCATGAGTTATAAATATCTTTCCCTGCAGGAATGTAAACATTTCAACCTTAATAAGTCTCTTATGATTTCTCTTTCCTGTTTACCTCTTCCATGTTTCACTTGAGTCTTGTATTTGAAAGTCAAATTTTATATTCAACTCTGGTCTTTTCCTCACAAATGCTTGAAAGTCTCCTATTTCATTGAATAGCCATTTTTTCCCCTGAAGGATTATACTCAGTTTTTCTGGGTAGGTGATTCTTGGCTGTAGTCCTATTTCCTTTGCCCTCCAGACCCTTAATGTAGAAGCTGCTAAGTCTTGTGTTATCCTGATTGGAAACAGCACAATTTTTAAAGCATCCAGATCATTTCTCAAAATATCTCAAAGAGGGGAAGATACCAAGGAATTGGAAAAAAAATCATAGGTCAAGAAAAAGAGATTGAGAGACATTAAATAACAATACACGTGCCTTCTTTCTGATTTCTATAAAATCTTTGTGAGAATAAGTGCATATTAAGATCATATTTGATGGAAATTTGACAAGAGAATAGATGAGTTTTTACAAATTATTTTCTACAGCAAAAATCTTCCCAATCACACTGTTAATTAAAATGTGTAGAAAATACAAGGTGTTTCTAACTGTCTCTTATTTATTTTAAGCACTTCACATGAAAAAACAAAATGTTGCCCTAAAGGCTGTCTTCCAAGGTGTTATCTTATATGCTAATGTTAAGATTATACAAAATTTTTGATAAATGCACTGGTTGAGATAGCTGTTCAATGTTACTGTGGTGATCAATGTAACCTGCAGCTCAAAGTTCATTTGCATAAGACTCTCCTCATTGGTGGAGATTGATTACTCAATGCTGCTTGCCTCTTTGAGGGGTTGAGTTGGCAGGAGCTTTGGAGAAGAGAGATCTTTTAAAGCTGGAAACTAGAAGACCAGGATCTTGGACAAATTAAGTTATTTGCTATTCACTGCCCATATGTTCCCTGTGAAACTGGCATTTGGTAGGAAGGCAGTCAAGATACTCACATATAGCCTAAGGTATTCCTTGACTGCTAACCTATAGGGATCAGGAAGGAGCACAGCTTGAGACTGAAAAATATCTCCCTAGATCAAAATATTTAGTTGCTTGATAACTAGACAGTTATTCTTTTCTAGTTATCCAACTGCCCGTGTCATAACATGTTCTAGAATCTCAACAGATATAAAAGCCAAGGTCACTGGTCTATATCTTCTCTTTTTTTTTTTTTTTTGAAAATCAGGAAAACATTTTCCTCTCTCTCTCTCTAAATCCCACCTCACTTATACTCTGTGATTATAAAAAGATCACTGACAGTAATCTCATTGACCACATCTGCCCAGGCTTTCTATACTCTGTAATGTATCATGGTTCACTTACCTCTGAGTACCATAGTGTCCCAGGCAAACCCAAGAGAATTGAGAAGACCTCAGGAGGTGCTGTCAAAGATGCAGCCCCTACTGAAGTGTCACATAGCACCATCACTACCTGAACCCTATGGTTTATGCTGTGCTCATAATCACAGAGCTAGTAAATGAAATGAAAGTCAAACATAGATTTGGTTTTGAGTTAGCATTCTACCTATTATACAATACTGTCTCAAATAAAACACAAGCAAAAATATTGCCATTAGATATAAAAAACTCATTCATTGTGACTCACTTAGATTTATAACAGTAATATAATATTAAGAAACAATTATCAAAATAAATAACACTAACACCAGAACAACAAAAACCACGTAATTTAATAAGATATAGAAAGTCTTTGATAAATCATAGTGTTATTATGCATTATAGACACCAAAAGTCATAAGCCTGAAAGGTCATTTCTATTATATGTTTTTTTTAAAATCTATTAAAGACAAAGAATGGGCATCATTTGTAATAGAAAAACACTAGAAGATCCTCCAAAAATATCAAGGCAAAATAATGATACCTACTTTCACCACTTTTACTTAATCTAATATTGGAGATACTAGTAGGGGAATAAAATAAAGATAAGAAATTAGGGGAATATATACTGCTAAAGAGGAAGCAAATATATGCGATGATGATTTATTTAGAAAACCATAGTGAATCAATGACAAGTAATTAATGCTTCAACAAAATAGGAGAGACAAAACAGATACTGAGACCTAATGGATTCTCTATCCCAATTTCCACAGTACAAATATTACAAATATTCCCTTCTCTATGTGAGAGATGATCTCTCAGAAGTGAAGCCTCCTCAAAGGGTCATTAGCTCTTGTTAATAGTTCTTGTATTGTTTTCAAAACCCTCCCCCATTCAGACCTGGTTTTTAAGCACTTAGCAGAAAGAATAGCCCTACCTCCAACCTGAACTGCTTGCCCTTGCAAAACTTCCCACCTTTTCTTGTCTCTGGGCAAACTTGTGTCTCTGTTGCTGGGGCTGTGAATAGATTGTGCCCCCCCCAAAAGCCCAGCCAATGGGATAAGGGAAAGGGGGTTAGGGAGGAGGAGCTCAAGTTAGGGTATAAAATAAGGCTTCCTTTCTGTAACCAACTAGTACTCTCCTGGCTCGCAATGGCGACTAGGAGCGGTACCCTTTCTCATGAGAGAGCAATAAACTCCTTTCTACTTCCAAGGTATCTAAGTCTTTGTTTTTATTTTTGAGTGAGTGGTCTCTGTTCCACACAGTTGGAGAATTGTCCGGGATTTCCTCCCTTATTTCAGAAGGGCCTCCCAACCAGTCCTAGGACAGGCACTCGCAGGCCACTTGCCAGCAGTCCACGGAATGGTTTGGGAGTTTCCTTTCATTTTTAAGGAACAACCCGAAGAAAGACAGATACCTGAAAGCAGCAACCTCGGAAAGGGCACAATGACCACCACCTGCTGAAGAATTTGAATCAGTCTGTAAGTAAGACAAGATTGGTGAGCGCCCTTAAGAGGGCAAGAACTAGTGAGTCTCTCGGTGACTGGGGGAAGGGAAACAAAGCTGAGCTTAGTGAGGTGAGAAGGCAAGATTGGTAAGCTTTCTACAGAAAGCATGAACTAGTGAGCCCTCGGCAAGATCTGGCCAGCCTCCACTCCCGTAAAGGGGGCAAGATCTGTGAGTTCTCAAAAGAGGACAAGAGCTAGTGAGCCTCCACCTCATGGCAAGATACAGTAAGCCTTAAGGGGCAAGAACTGGTGAGCCATGGGGACATCCAAAAGCAGGTGGTCAGCAACATAGTTCCTTACTAGATGTTCCGGACGATAGTTAATTGGACTTTGCCAAAGTGTAAAGGGAAAGATTTGATGATTTGGGATTCTACAGCAATTTGTTGTATGTCTGTTTTGTGTTTGTGTCTGTGGTGTGAATGAGTGTTCTTGTGTGTGTACTGAAAAGCTACTTTCCTTCTCTCCCCCT